TATATATATATATATATATATATACACACACACACACACACACACACACACACACACGCATTATTTAGAGTCCAGTTTTATCAGTATAAGCCTAAAGATGTATCTTATTTACAATCTAAAGGTTTTTGCTTGCAAAAATAAAATGTATATAAATTAATATATAGCTTTAGATATTTTATTTTATACTTTGTATTTATATTTTGAATGAATTAAAGTAGCATACGTGTCTGTGTGTGTGTGTGTTTGATTTTCATACCAAATTTCCTTAAAACATACATGGATGTTTATTAACATTTCCTTGAACTGCATAGGCACAACATTGTCTAAATGTACATGACATAGGCTCAAAAATGAAATATTTTGGCTTCTAAATGTCTAATTCACTAATAATTTTGCAGCCAATTAATTAACTGCCAAAAAAAACAACTTGTGGTCGACGCAAATTATGTTTATTCCCAGTGCGAATAAACCTGTTTTGTTTTTTTAAGTGGTCTGGGTCATATTTTATTTCATAGCTTCATAATAGTGTAGAGTGTTATCGAATGCATGCCAGTGCTTTGATGTCATCATGAAAGAAGGAAGTGGAACTTTACACAATTTTGAGATCAGCTGTATTTTATTATTTGCATCAAACATCGTTTTATTCTATGTTTGTCCGCAACCTAATCAGAACAGACCTGTGACCCATTTTTGGGTCACGACCCACCAGTTGAGAAGCACTGTTGTATATCATTGGTGTCCCACCCCCACCAGTCCTTTCCAGGGGCTCTATCTGTTGTCCTGACAACAAAGTCTGTCCACTGGAGAATCTGTCCCATTAAAACAATACATCAGCTCATGTGCACAGATGAAAGTGAAAATAGATTTGTAAAAACAAATAGTGGAAGTAAAATAATAGTAATACTGAAAGACTTTGTCTTTCTTTTGGAAAAGAACCTACATCGCATTTGACCAACTTCTGCTTTTTTTCAGACAGATATTCTCACATTTTCATAGAAGTTGGAGGAGGTGCGGCAGCAGTTGTTAAAGGGGATTCGGATTGGCTGACGTGCATGAGAGCAAGACACATGTCATGAGTGAATGCTGCACTCCCCGCCCCTTATTGTGAAGCGTCTGGACTCTGGGTTTATTTGAGCAATGTGTGTGTGAGAGAGCAACAAGAAGACCAGAGGACATAGAAATATAGCAAACAGACATAAAAACAGAAGCACAGACAGATTCGCAGATGCTGCTGGACAAGATTAGCTGTGTCTGTCAATTCTACATGGACTTTTGAATGGGATTTATGAACTGATTAATCATAGGATTCATATCTCAGAGAGATGGAGGTCAGTATTGTTCACTTCTAAATTAACTTCAGAAACAAAATAGCACTTCGTTAGGTGAATCTTCAGGCCATTTTGACCCTGAATGAACTAGTAATATTAAATAATGTATCAGAGGAACCTACCAACCTGCTGTCGGTGTTTCAAACAAGAACCGTTTTCT